TGGCGCTGGGAACCATGCTTTCGACTCTGGGCTCCATGCGCTCAGAGAGTCTTCAAAAAGGTCGCGTCTCGCCTGCCGACATGTCGAGCGGATGGCTTCTGCGATAGCGTCGGGAGTGCATCCCCCCTCAGCTCTGCAAGCATGAGCTGTCCGACTATTCGGATAACGCTTGGTGAAGCTCTTCACTCTCTCGACGAGGTCGGCCTCCTCGACGTGGCCTCCAGAGCGCTCACCCTGCGTGTATTGGCATGATCTCCGATACAGCAGGTTGCGAACGCTCTCATCATACTGTAGTACCATGCTTAGAAAGCTGTTTGAACGATACGAACCTCTTGCTCGCAGCTTCCTCCGGTGCCCTTGCGCTCTCCCTACGCGCCACAGAGCAGCATGCCTCTGTCAACGGGCCCGGTGCCTCTGTCAACGGGCCCGGTGCCTCTGTCAACGGGCCCGGTCTGCCTCTGTCAACGGGCCCGGTGCCTCTGTCAACGGGCCCGGTGCCTCTGTCAACGGGCCCGGTGCCTCTGTCAACGGGCCCGGTGCCTCTGTCAACGGGCCCGGTGCCTCTGTCAACGGGCCCGGTGCCTCTGTCAACGGGCCCGGTGCCTCTGTCAACGGGCCCGGTGCCTCTGTCAACGGGCCCGGGGTGCCTCTGTCAACGGGCCCGGTGCCTCTGTCAACGGGCCCGGTGCCTCTGTCAACGGGCCCGGGGTGCCTCTGTCAACGGGCCCGGTGCCTCTGTCAACGGGCCCGGTGCCTCTGTCAACGGGCCCGGTGCCTCTGTCAACGGGCCCGGTGCCTCTGTCAACGCCGGGCCCGGTGCCTCTGTCAACGGGCCCGGTGCCTCTGTCAACGGGCCCGGTCCTAAACCCTAAACCCTAAACCCTAAACCCTAAACCCTAGTAGTAGTAGTAGTAGTTGAGTTTATTAGAATGCTAGGTAGTTTGCATGGCTTGTTATCACCTTGCACTATTCTAGTCTAACAGGGATCTCGTGACCTGGCAGTTCGGCCCGACTTGGCTGGCCCTTATGGCAGCCGTGCTTCTGCTCTGTTCCCTCTTCTGATATACTTCAGTGGTCTTCCCCGGCCTCAGCCAGTGGAGTTTCCTCCGCTGGCCTTGCCTTGGGTCGTCCGTGCTTTGCTTGTGTTGCTTCCTCGGCCCGGTGGCAAGTGGGTTGTGGATGGGTCCCTGGGACTCACGTCCCAGCCGAAGTTCCCCCGGGCCTCGGTCCGGACCGGGCCCTAGGGCCCGGCCGGCCGCCGCCCGGCCTCCTCCACCCGCCCCCCCTCCCCCCTCCCCGACCGGCTTACCCGCCCTTACCTTCGTTGCTTGCCCCATGACCACCTGCTTTATTTCTTCCTCCTTCCCCCCTTGGGGCCCACAGCTCCGCTCCGCCTCTTGTCCACCTCTAAGACTTGACTCGAGCCTCAAGCGCGCGAGAGGCCTGCACCGGCCTCCTCCTCCACGCCCTCGCCCTCCTCAGCCTCCATGTCGACTTCCTCCCTCATCATCAGCCGCAGTCGGTCTTGCTTGTCGACCTTGCCCGTGCAGCTCAACCCATGGTGCTCAGCAAATTTACTGATCGCAAGATACAAGAGGCTTACAGATCG